AAAAAAATAAAATAAAATTTGTTTGAACAATGATTCACAAAGTAATACCACTTCCTTTGCCAATCACTAACATAATGTGTATATATCTAAACATGCAGATCTTTGTTTAGATCTAAAGATATACACAAATCGAGTTACTCTGGAGATCTTTGACAATGCTGGATTCAAAGAGGACGAAATTTGATATGTATATGAAAATAGAGGACAAAGCTTGACGGTAGATTCCAAGAGGACGAAACTTGATCTTCGATGATGCTGAATTTGAAAAGGACAAAGTTCAAAAAATGGGTGAAAATGCTTCCGATGAAACTTAATGTTCATATTTCATAAAAGAGTTGTGTTTCTCGTGCTTTAAAATTTTTTGACGATCTTGTTTGAGTAAAAATATGTATACGATGTTCTCAGAAGTTGGCCTCATTTAAAAAAAGAAAATTGAAAATAATTTTCAAAAAACAGCCACCCGAATAATATTTTTGTGTTTTCTTGTATTTGAAAATAAAATATAAAAAAAAATCTGTTTTTAAGAAACAAATCAAACAAACCCATAAATTCTGATGATTTGGTATCTCCTTAGATAAGTCTGCCCAATATATATCAAACAAAGAAAATTCCACGTGGATATGGTGAGAGGTCAAAGGTTTCGTGGCGACGACAGCTAAGATGGGCATGTTGGGTTTGAGTTTGGTCTTTTGTTTCTGGAAAGTTCACCGGCTTGTTTGGTGGGTCCAACGCTTTATTATTAAATCTTAAAAATTCTACTTGCCAGACATTTAAAAACAAAAGTGTCGGCGTGTCGCCTCCTCAGCGGATATTTTGTGAGCTGGCACAGGACAAGTACAAGATTGAGCAATTATTTTGCTTGAGAAAACAAACTATGATCTGTATTTCATTAGTTCTACGGAGATAACTCGTGCTCGACGGTGTAAATTAAATGAGAAATGATGAATTTAGGTGGTGAAAAATTTTTATATAAATAATTTTGAGAAGGATGTTGATGGTCGTTAAATGAATTTATTTAAAATTATAAAATAAATTTATTGAAATCAAACTTATTTTATATTATAAATGTCATATAACCATTGTTGTTTTTTATGCAATTCTTTAAGGTTATATTACGAGAAAATTTTTTGTCATAAATATTCTTAATTTTGGTGTAAAT